TCCTGACACTTTACAATGAAATGAAAATGCAATCAGTATACTCATTTCGATTCCATTACTCTCGTGGTAAAATACTGCGCGATGTGGAATATGCCCTCTGTTTGATGTACCTCTTCTCTTATTCGATGAGCGACGTACTTTGACACTCTACTCATATACCCTTGATCTGAGTCATTGTGATGCAGTAAGTTGCATCTTTGGCAAATTTTTCATAAATTAAAATAACAGATTCTTCCCAAGTATCGCCGAAGAGGCGTCTTCTACATTAATTATACAACCAGTTTTCCCCAAGAGCCGCAATCTAAATCTTCTTCTCCCACCTCTATGTCCATCAGGTACATCTATACAAAATTTTCTCAACTGGGAACAAAATATGACATATGACAAGCTGAAAGAATGAGGAAAAGTACCCCCAAGTACCGCTCATCTAAAAATACAAACACGGAACATTACCCCTGGTTTCTTACTCTTTTTGGGAGAGGCGTGGAGGAAACACTACCAATGGGAGAACATAGGCGAGTAATGAAGCCACATATACATGTATGTACATCATTCCATGCAGACCAGGGCATAGTGAACCAAGGCTGCAGAGAAGGTTGGGACCGATGAGTAAAGTGAAAATGATTAATCATGTTACTCTCCCCTGCGAGACATCGCTAACGGCGCAGAGGGAGGAGGAGTGTGTGTGTATGTTTCATGATTGTGATGCGAAGCTAGAGAGGAAAGGACAAAAAAAAGAAGACGAAAAACAAGGCACGAACGCACAGGGTATGACTGCCTCTTACTGGCCCTCAAAGATATTTGACGTCGACGTGCATCCTGACAGATTCCCTGATGCGGAAAAAGGGTTGCAATTTGCAGATGGAGAAGTGGAGATGGAGAATCAGATCGGAAGGCGCCTATGGGAGGATGCGGAGAAGGGCGTTCCGAAAGGAGAAAAGCATTGTCGATCTGCATCTTACTTGCACGCTGGATGTCGTCATTGATGGTGGTGAGAAGGTTTTCTGGGGAGATCGGTGATGGTTGATGATGATGAAGTTGGTGGTGGTGTTTTTTTTAACCACTCACCATGAAGACCACCCCCTTCTTGCGCGGCGGCCGTTGGGGAATATAGCCTGTTGAAGGATGAATTGAGTTTTTGTTGTTATTGCCTGTTCTAATCATCGATGTCGCTCTGCTGTTGTCTTTGCGATCGACATGACGCGAGTTGCTGGGGGGGAAAGAGCTGTCATATATGAGAGAGAGAGAGCATTGTGTGCAACGACGGCCGAACTGATGTCATTGTGCTTTTCTGACGTTCCAGATATGGTAAGCCAATCTATGCTAATATGCTTGGCACATATCTCTTGGTAGGTGCAGCTTATTGTCACAGCCAAGAGATGCGTCGATGTACTTTGCTCGAGATGTGCTTGAGTACGTGTAGCATGGGTCTTGTCTTGTTGTAGATGAGATATTGCTGCTACTCCGTGTTTCAAAACATAGTTCTTCGTATAGAAACAATTATATTAGGTGATGTATATTTACTCTTTTCGTTACACAAAACCTCTCGTCATCATGTAATATGTATTAGGCAAATCCCTTCTGATGTATAAACTAAAATCAACTCTTGTCCTACCACTCGTAACATATGTTGTTAGCAACTATGCTATCCTGCTCCGCCGCAAACTATAAGTATTGCTGCCGATATATCAACGTTAAACACTTGTATAGTCTTAGAGCGCAGCAACTAAAGCATTGCCAGTGCTTATATTGCATGAAAACGTTGAAAGGTGGTATAGTGTCCCAAATTTATCCTCCGTGATGTGCTTCGCATTACTCTAACAATACGAGGGGGTAAAACCGCAGAATTTTGGAAATTTCTAGCTCTTATTCCCTGAAATGATAACTTATGCTACATGTACTGCTTTCTACAAAAATGGGAACAGACGGTAAAGAGGAGGAGGAGGAGAGTCGAATCAACGGCGTCTTTTAACAGAAGATGTGACAACCATGTCAATAGATGATGTTGTATTTTGTTATGGAACATTGGTTTAAGGGTGACTACTATTTTTTAAGAAATTGCCTCGACGTTGGGCTTCTTAGGCAGAGATGAAAGCTTTCCCTCTTTTCCCTCTTCGCCAAACTCTATCGCAACTACAGCCTTACGAAACTCATTGTATAGGTAAGAAGTTGATGACGGCGGCAAGGCATTTCGAATCGCTGCTCCGCCAGGAGTGGCCCAAATAACAGCACTATGATGATTACATTGGTAAGTCTTCTCATTCAGCCATATTATTTGCACCTATTTTTGTGCTCTCCCTTTTCTTGCGGTGGTCATTAAGGACGCGGTGGGTAACGGAGGTGCCGGCGTATCGGCGGTCTATGCGTCGGATATTCAATTTACTACTATTTTGATTCTCTAAAATATATGTTAAAAGGTATTTAAGTAAATATTCAGCAGAGACTTTTAGTGCCACTTGGACTTTTGCTTAGATATGAAAAGGGAGTTCCAGGATTCGAGCACACTCACCAAGTCGAATAAATGAGCTGATTAAGATCTCTATATACGGGTCAAAAGTAATAGGGCCGAAAAAGTCTTGAATTATTCACAGGCACTGTGATAACAGGATGCGTGTGATAAATGAAGATTTGGTTTGAGGGGACGTATATGTATAAATAGGAGATGTATCGAATCTTTTACAATGGCATGAAAGCGAAGAGCTCTCATGATGAGACGGACAGGTCTTATAGATAGATTGCGTGCTCTGAACAGCTGTTTGCCTTTCTTTTACTTCGTTACCAAGTTACTTTGTTGAAGTGGAATACGAAAAAAAAAAAAAAAGAGTGCGGAACAGCTATATGGTTGCATGCTATAATATGTTGGGATCGTTTGTAATTTGCGGTCTTAACTTTATGCCTATCTGCAGTTATGACTACGATATATATATACATATGTCGACGCGAGCCACTCCTAGACGATACGGCACTTAACATGCCTTATGACAAGAGCAAAAATATGCTTGTCTAGAAATATGCATAGTTGAGGCAGAGTCTGCCGAGATGGCTAAAAGACATGCTGTTGTTGACCAATGGGATTGAGATTGTTTTAAATAAATTACCTAGTTGAGTACTATCAGGATTCATGGTGTTCACCCATGCCGACTGCAATATCTGGTCGTCATGCTCCCTGATGAAAGCTATTAATTTAGCACGAGTCTACTACATCAGGCGAATGCTTGTCTCGTTTGACTGAGATTACAAACTCTCAAAAATCTATAGATATGACTTGATCATTGAAAAGCCTGCTTCTTATCCACAAAGGGGAAAGTATGGGGCCCCATCCTATTAAGATTTTGCAACCTTGGCTGACATGTGGAATCTACGTACTATGCCCCTTGGTGGCTTCAAATGCCGAACAGCTGTCAATATATATATATGTATGGGTCATTTTGCGAAAACGTCATTATTACAAGCGCAGCTCGGCGTCATATGTGATCTGCCCATGAATCTGAATGCTTACATCATTTGCTATCATGAACATTAATCTGGGTTTTCCAACTAGATTTGTGGTGTAAGAGCTACAGGCGTTCTGATTCAATGCCATCATATTGATCTATGCATTCATTTGTTTATTCTCATGAAGAACTTCATTTTTGTCGAATCCGGGTAATATGAAGAGTGAAGCAGATGCACGGAGAGAATCCAGTAGCTTTATACATGACGCAGTCCACATAATTATTCGCTTAGGCAACGGCAAAAAGGAGTATATTGCGAAAGAGCAAAGTCGATATTGTGCACGTTGACAAACCACTTATTACGAGTCAACGGCATCTCACCGGGACACTCATTCAGCGATTTCGTATGGTGAATAAACTTGGTTTTGGTGATAAATTATACAAGCTGCTTAATATGCAGAAAGTGAAGATTTACATTGACTTAGGGTTCATTAATCGTTAGTTTGCAACATGACGTCGTGTAGATAGAACATGCTCCATCCTTTGGCCTTTCAAATGTATAAGCTGTGGATGTTTGGCTTTTTCATCGGAGTACTATGGAGACATGTCTACGGAGTGCTCATCAGAGCTTTGTGATGCGGTTATTACCATAAGGCTGACACGGACGTGGGTCTGCTCGCCTAGTATCCTGAGTGGTTATTGGCGCAGGCCCGGCTGGCGCAAGCCCGGCGTAGGCAAATCCAGGTGGCAACAAGGCGAGACAAAAAAGTAATGAAATAAATCTTCAGAGCCACAAAAGATCTCCTCCATCACTATTGGCCATCTAGTAAATTTTATTAGCCTGCTTGTAGGAAACAGCTCCGTTGCCACCGAGGCACGACCGCTGAACTCCTCTTTGCCTTTTACAACAGCATGACTTATGATGTCGCCCAAATCTCAAAGTTTGACCCCCACAGTGGACTCTTTATCGAGCGCCTAGCAGTTAGTGTCCGCGAACAGGTGGTGGGATGAGGGGTTTGAATGAATCGCATTATCGAAAAACCAGATCGCAGAGGGGTAGATGGCAAGTGGTGGTTTAGTATAATCGCAAGGACCAACGTTTATTGAAGATGGCACGATGGGCCGAGGCCAGCTGACTGCACCGCGTGGTGGTTGAGAGTCTCACGTGGGCAGAGCAAGTTAAATGGAAGATGCTTGGCAGAGCCGATTTGATGACACGGCCATGAGCAAGCCGTGGCTGAGCGAGCTCTCGACTGAAGCATAAGATAGAGAAAGCCTTGTGGGGAGGATCGAGGAAGGACGATGCGATGAGGATTCTTCGGATTCCTCAGCTGAGCGCTCTTGTGGCTCAGCCTACAAGCTAAAATGCCCGCGTTGAGCCTAATAGCAATGCAATTGTTTGAGCTGCCCAATGCCTCACTCAGCACTTGGACGAGTCCAAGTGGCTCAGACTGCTGTGGCTACGAATGTCGTCGGCAATAAGGGCTGAGGATACGTAATATTCGTCGCGCCCTCTACAGCATCAAGCACGCGCATCATGATGGCTCGATGCCATCAACATCACAGTCATTCATTCATCGCCGGAGGTGAAGCGGGGCCGAGTCGGCCGAGCCGGGCGAGGCAACGAATTGACAGCAGATGATTGGCAGTGGTCAGCGCGAGGGAGCGATTGGCTGCCCAGACGGCCGGAACAGTCGCGCCGTGACGAGAAGAAGAGGCTGGATGATCTCTCCGCGAGGGACGGGAGATGGGCCAAGTTTGAGCCGCGCCCCGACTGATAGCAACAACATTGAGAGCTATACACGTAGAACTATACACGTAGAGCTATACACGTAGAATAGCGAGTGAGACATGGCAGTGTATATACACACTCAGCATACTGTAGCGATAGGATGGAGAGGGGTTTACTATTACTGCATGCGGCATGAGCTGCTTGCGCCATGACATGATGCTTCTCGTTAGGATGCCCCGGATGGCTGGGATACCGCTGGATGTCAAAAACGCTGCACTGAAGCCCGCGAAGCGCCATCGACGAGCGGCTGAAAATCTGCAATAGCGCCACTCTGGGGGCCGTCACTCCCGCAACCCACGCATATTCGAGTGCGCGAGCCGCGGCGTGAATGGCCGGCAGCGTCACAAGCCACAGCCTAACAGGCGACACCATGCGCGAGCCCCGGGCAAATGGCGTTGGGTAGCGCGGCTTTGGGGGGGGACTTTGTTTAGAGGGGGAAGCTAGCAAGTGACACCGAGGAGGATGCGAGCGTAAAGCACGCTGGCTTGGTGTTTTACTATTAGGCAGCCGCATCGAGAGACAAGTCGATGGATGAGGAGAACTGAGACATACGGTGGACGAAATAGACGGTGCGAGCGGGGTTCGGGCTGAGGTTGCGTGAGGTTTGCGGATTGAGCGGGGGAAAAGGGCAGCGAGAGAGGGAGGTAGAAAACGGCAGTTGGAATAATGAATGATAATGCCCGGCGCTTTTGGTATGACTGCTTGCTTGTATGGAGCATCACATATGAGATGCTAGATAGAATAGACACGCAGCCGTTTAGCAACGCGAGAGATATTTTTGGACGCAGCGCACTGACTAGCAAGACTCGATGCTACCGACGAGAGGACCGTGGCATACAGTAGCATACGGGTAGGTAGCAACGCAAATCAAGATTTCGTACGCGCTTGCTTACACGAGGCGCGTATAACACGCCCGTTGCGGAGGTTTTTGTCATCCTATACACGTACATGGCCGCAAATCATGTGCTTTTGGCCCTCCACCGCCATATTCTCGTAGCATACTTACTTACACGTAGCAGCAGAGATACTACCAACGCTGGGGGGCTGAATAGGAGACAAACCTCTTCTCGCTGCTGCCATTCGCTGTCCCTTTTTTTCTTTCCTTCCTATTCTTATCGCAGCCAGCCCCATCGTGGTGGCGGTAGGCGAAATCCTTTTCCCCTCCCCTCGGCATGGGATAAGATGGAAAGGCGGTGGCAGAAGGTGACATTTGCCTCTGGTCCCATGTAATGTCACTTTTACCCAGCTGCTGCTATCTTACGGTATGTACATACATACATACAGACAGACAGACATGCATAGATACATGCAGACACGGCGGCAGGCAACGCAGCGATCCAATCCAGGCACAGCTTCAGGATGAAGATGCAGATCATTTACCGCCATATTGAACAGGGCCCTGGCTGTTGCCTCGAGTTTGAGCTCTAGCTGGCTGGCTGGGTTCCGGATTTGGACGCTGCCTCTCCCTCTCGTCTCATCCAGGGCAGCCGGGCAGAATTCCTTGTTGCTTTCAACTGAGACAGACTTGGATATAGTATACTGTATCTAACTGCCACCAATGATGGCCAATGCTTGCACAAACTGCTTGCACTCTAACACAGTGCAAACCACCCCTCTACGGGTGCATTGCCTGCAGCCTGTCTTGCAGCAGAGTGCGCTTACGAGGCCCATCTCGTGATCCAAAGACGCTCACTCACTCACCGCACTGGCAGCAGCGCAGAAACCGTCCTGCATGGACTGGACGAGAGGAATCCTCCAGGCCATTGGGAGCTGGAGGCGGTCGGCCGGTGCCTCTCTCGTCTCCCTTGCTCGCCCCCAGCTCGTGCTGCAGAAGCTGCAGGGCGCTTTGCTCCAGCGAGTTCGCCAAGACGCCAATGACAGTCCGTAGACTGGCGATCGGGCATGTCGTGCCCTGGGAGGTGCATCCAGCTAGCAGGAGTAGCGCACGCACGAGGGCGAATACTCGGTAACAGGAGCAGCAGCAGCGGCAAAAGAGCCAGTTGGAGGCAGAGTTGCAGCACGAGTTGAGCGGGCACACGGGCGAGAGCATGGGAGTTGAGAGAGTTGCGATGCTGCGATGCAATGCTGCGTTGGTTGGACATGGCATGTACATACACACAAAGACTGTGCAAACAAACGAGCGCGCAGCAAAACAAGCAGGCAGGCAGCGCAGTATACAGCGCAGAGAGAGAGAAAGCGGGGAGCGGTGGATATCAAACACCGGCGCAAATTGGAGCTTTGACATGTACCTTGGCATGTACTTTGACATGCACTTTGATATGTATCGCCTCATCCGGCTGGCTATTGCAGTCTCTCTTGCATAGCAATCCATCCATCGCGTCATGATTTTGATGCGCTGCGTGCATGCAGCTGCAGCAAAAGACAGCGTTGCCAGGCACCACTCCAGCCAGCATTGTGGAATAGGCGGTGATGGTGATGGGCCAGTCCATGAATCAGTCATCCATTCATCTCATCTCATTTTCATTTCAGCGCTGATGCTGCTGCCTTTGTCTCTCTCTGCGCATACGGTCGCATGGGGCGCCAAATGTCCCTCTCATTAATACTAGTAGCAGTAGCAGCACCAGCACCAGCAAATGGGGAAGCGGGATTATTCCTTCATTTTATTGATTCTCGCCTGGCCAACTCGCAGAACAAGAGGTACTTTGCAATAATTAATCAATACGGAGTGTCCAATAAAGCAGGCGGGACATGCTAGCGGTACCCAGTACGGAGTCCGGGATCAGAAGGCCTGCATTCCGCGCCGCCGCCGTCCCGTCTTGGATGGTACCAAGTACATGGGACTAGTCCAGTTCGGCGACCCGCACTCCCAAATAAACCGAGACACATGCGAGCAAGGGGAAGATGCGAAAGATGCATCATGACCGCCTTTCCGGAGCTGCAGGTTTTGGATTTCTTTTTTTTTTTTTATGTGCGCCCGTGTGAGTTGTCAGTTACAATGAGGTACGTACCTTTACACCAAGCAAAAAGGAAAACAAAAAAAAAAAAAAAAAAAAAAAAAAAAAAAAAAAAAAAAAAAAAAAAAAAAAAAAAAAAAAAAAAAAGAGGGGTCAAAGCAGGAAAAAGCAAGGAAAGCAAGGAAAAGGAAGCATCAGAAGTTAGTATAAGCCGTAAAGTCACAAGTAAAGTGCACAAAACGCCCCCCTCAATCCCATTTAATCGTGGGGCACAAGAACGCCTCGGGTCGACGGTGAATGAATGAGAGCAAAGCAAGAGATGCGGGCCGAGACAATTTTGACACCGGATGCTTCTGGCATGACGAAAAGTCTAATATTGGCGCCCCAAAAAAAAGAGAGAGGGAAAGAGAGCTGCGGTAATTTTGTGTCTTTGTTTTCGGACTCGAGCAGTTCTCCGTATCTAATACTACTGATAAATGACGCTGCGCTGGGCGCTTGGTTATATTAACAATGCCAATGCTTACAGCGTTCGTTACAGAAAGTACCCGTGGCCGGCGGTACAGCAGAGTACGGCGGTGCAGTGCAATTTCACGGCCGGCAGCGAGTAATATTACGGCGGTGGTACATCTCATCTCGTTCGATGGAAATAGCTTCTCTTGGCTGCCCCCGTTTTTTTTATTCGGATCCCCCCTCCCCCTGCGCTCCCCACAGGGAATACAGCCAAAAACGATGGGCTATCATTCCATCGATGAGCATCACCGGCCAAGGTCAAGGGTTTGCGGAACGTCTGGAAACGCTGTCGAAGCCGCAACCCCGGCCGGGCCTCGCTGTCGAAGCCGCTTTGTGTCGTGTCCACGTGCCGCGGTATATACTAACTAGCAGTAGTTTATATACTCGTATCAGATTGCTATACTCTACTGGCTGGAGGCTGGGAACACGGCGAAGGATCTTTGGGGTAAATTAAGTGAAGTGGTTTAATTAATCAATTTTGCATCTGCGTTATCTATCCGTCGGGCCCAGCCAAAAAGAATATCTACGCAACAGCATATAGTAGGTATTATTGCAATCATTAAAAAAAAAGAAAGAAGAAGAAAAAAAAAATTCAAGCCACAAGTTCCGTTTTCGTGGCTTTTTGCGAACGACTCAGGCTGCGTCTGCAATTACTCCGTACGAGACATTTATCTGCGCGGCTCTCTTCACGGTATCCGGCCGAAGCCAGCTGCTAAAACTTGTTGCCACCGCCCAGCCAACACCGCCCTTGGGCCCCATGGCCGCAAGCACCGGCCGCAATCGCGAGACCCCCGGCCCACCAACGACGTTTTTCTTGATTAGGTGCGCCCAGGCGCTGTTCCAGGCCAACCGGCCCGCCTACAGCTCGCCGCATCCAGCGGGCTTTAGTGCCTTGCCTAGCACCGCCTGTAGTGCCAAATTGTGTACATAGAGGCCCTGGGTCCCTCCCCCCCGGGACCCGACCACCGCCCATCTTCGGCTTCACCTACCTGTGTGTATTAATCCTCGCCAGTCTCTCGACTACCATCATATACCTGGCCCCCTTTCCCTGCACAGCGGCCCCGTTTCCTCCTTTTTTTCTCTGGCAAACCCTGTCCAGATACTATTAATTGTCCCCCCCGGTTCGTTCGCCCTCTGCCTTGGGTCCTTTGGGGTACGTCTCTTTTGCGCGCCCAATGCATGCGCCAGGTGGAGTCTCGCAGTCGGTGGCCGTGTAACTCCTTCAAACCCCATCCCGCATCCATAACTGCACGCAGGAGGAACCACGGCAACGATGGCTTGCAGTCGGTGTAGGTAGATACAGACGAAACGAATCTTCGGCATCGACAGGGGCTTGCCAGAGAAAGTGGGCTTTGTTCGAATCCGAAACTTAAAACAAGAACCCAGAAGGAAGCATATTCGAAGCCATCAATCTTCGTCTCCCATTTTATACTTCTGTTATAGCCTCTCTTATACGTATACGCATACGCAAGCAAATCTACCAGTCTTGCGTATTGTGTATAACCCTCAATCCTCCTCTTTTTTCCTCTATTTTCCTCTTCTTCTTAATCCTCTCGAGTCTATAATCACATTCACACACACACAAACACACAACATGGTCTCATTACAAACGCAGCCGTCCGGCCTAAGCGGCCACGGCAAGCTCACCAAGTCGCGCAGTCGCATCGTCGTCAAGCCAATCCTCAAGAGACTGCACCACGTCCACTCACACCACTCAGAGCGCAACTCGCTGGACCTGAACCGCGGCTGGGACGACCAGCCCGTGGCCACCACGCCCGACGTGGAATACGGCTCCTTCGACTTTGGATCGCGCGACCTGGACGACCTGAGCACCGACCGACGAAACACGTACGGCTCATACGCAGCTGCGCCAGCCGCCGGCGCAAAGCTCTCGCGCGACGTCAGCTTCAGCTTGGCCGCCGGCGAGCTGGGCCCCAGCTCTCCCGGCCTGGGACGGGCAAACACCTTCTCGGGCTCGCATGCGCGCTCGACCAGCGGCGGAAACCCCAGCAAGCCCTCCAGCAACCGCGTCGGCTCCTTCGTCCACCCCTTCCAGCAGATGCCCAGGACGTCCACGCCGCCGCTGCACTCGTACGCCAACTCGGTGTCGTCGCTCGACAACGGCCTGCCGGGCCAGCAGCGCGACCTGACCGGCGCCATTGCCGAGAGCGACGCCGACGAGGACCGCCACGAGCTGGACGCCGACGAGCCGCTGGCTTCTCCCACCTCTCTGTCGCTCGCCCAGACCGAGCCCTTCTCGCCCACCGCCACCAAGAAGCTCTCCTATTCATCCAGCCTGCGCTCCAACTCGCCAAACTCCAAGCCCACGGGGCGCCCGTCGCTCTCCGGCAGCCAGCGCACCAGCTCAGATGGCCCGTCCTCCATGAAGATCAGCACCACGCGCTCCAACTCGGGCCCTTCTGTGCAACGTCTCACGCAAGGCGCTGTGAATCAGTCCGCAAACGACTCCTCCTCCGCCGCGGCCGCCGCCGCCGTGCCTCTGCTCATCTCTACCACCCAGCAGAAGTCGGCCTCCAATCCCATCACCTCCACGTCGCCCATCTCTCCCTTCCGCACTTCTCTCGACATGAACGGCTTCCGCCTTCGCTCGCGCAGCGAGATGGACACCGTCAGCCGCCAGGAGCAGGTCCGCGAGGCCCGTCGCAAGTTCGAGGCCAAGGAGAGGGAGAAGGAAGAAAAGTATGCCCGCGAGCAGATCCGCAAGCGGGAGCGCGCCGATGCCAAGGAGGCGCAAAAGACTGAGCGCGCGCAGGCCTCGAAGCGAAAAACCAGCTTTGGACACACCAGCACGCTTTCCAGCGCCAGGAACTCGTCCAGCGTCCGCGAGAAGAACGAGTCTGAGCCCCTCAATGGTGGTGAACCAGCCGCGGATGAGCATTTCCAGGCCCCATCGCGGAGTAAGACGGCTAAACGCAGGACAAACAGCCTGTGGACGGCTTTCATTCTCTGGCTGAGAACCCGCCTTCTTAAGCTTGCCAGGCGATCATAGGCGACCAGCAACGCATTCCAGCCTCCATACCGACTCTACACACACACACACACACTATACACTTATGAATCCATCCATCTCTGGATTCGATTAATCCAAGTAACAGCAATGTTACAAGAGAGCGAAATGCTACATATGACTACATGTATATATATAACACTTTTCTTCGCCCCCCTTTTTTACCACTCATCATCATCATCATCATCATCATCAACCAATCAATTTTAGCGACACATATCAACAGCGAGGTCGAGAAGCTGGACGTTTACTACCGGCTCAAATTTCATGATTTTTTTTATTCTTCCTTCCCTTTTCACGGCTCTTGAGTTACAGTCGGGGAGCAACAGACCCCAGGCAAACGCAGCATCTGGCAATGCCGTTATTACTTTTTTTTTTACTCTTTTTTTTTTTCACGCGAAACACAAATGCAAAGTTTTGTCTTCTGCGAGGCGTTACGGGAACAATGGAAACGGTACCAAGCATTGGGCGGAAATGTTTGACTTCTTCTCTTTACTTTTTCTCTCTATCACTCAAAACAAAATGATTTTGAGTCTTGATGAATTTCTTTTTTTTTTTCTTTTCTATTCTAACTCCTTTTTGGACTTTTACGAATTGCATACAGGAGGATATACACATTTACCTAAGGGGAAACCGCGCTTTGGAGAGTTACTCAAGGAGAAAACTTTGGAAGAAAACAAAATCCACTCCTTTTTTTGAGAAAGACCCCAAGCAAAATTGAGAAACAAATAATAACACACAGTGAAAAAAAAAAGAGATATTCCTTGGGCCAGTAATTTTTCTGTTCCCAACGGAGAGGAGAGGCTTCTTGTTCGAGATTTTAACGGAACCACTCGAAAGCGTTTTTTCACGCTTGAGAGAGAGAGTTTTTGGAGAGGGAAAGTTTTTATATCAAACTTTTTTTTTTTTTGGCGGAGGTTGCGATGGGAAAGGATATTTACCATAGATGATGGGTCCGTCCGCAAGGTCTTTTTGTTTGGTAGTTGTTAGACTTGAACGCGGTGTGAAATACGAACAAGTTGCAAGATCATTTTATTAAGAATTTCCTCCAATAAACCGCTGTGATGTTTACTTGTGCATGTGTCGTGTTGTTTATTGATTTGTTTATTTGTTTGTTTTGATGTTTGCTTACATGTGCTGGGGTGCCATATGCATGTATGTATGTATGCATGCATAAGTGCCACTACTGCTACCTACTTACTACTTCTTTGTTTGTTGTTTGTTGAGGGCTGGCTACTAATTTACCTACTACACGAATCCGTCGTCTCTTTATGTTGGTGCCTTGGAGGTGGCATCATTCAATTGGTATACAAAATAACTGCGCGCGCCATGTATTGGATGGCTTAGGGCGATGTGATTCGTTCAAGGGGGCGCGAATCAGATGATTAACCCAAAGGGGATCGATCACCAGGGGCGCAGTGATGATCTTGGAGTCGGTCGACGGTCCATCTTTCTTTTTTTTTTTAACATGTGAGGCGGGTGGGTTACACTGGGCCGGTGAGATTTGGAGAGGGTAGGTGGGCTGGCGGTGAGGCTCGGTGAGGGGTGAGGTTTGTCATGTGGTGTGCGTTGTAGATTGTTGAGTGAGAGCAAAGGCTTGTCTGAAATTGATGTGCTCTTCAATGGACAAATCGAGAGGTTTGTTGCTGCTTGTATCATTGTTTGCTCTGAGTAGATGGTGGCTTGCACATGTGGTATATGATGCTCTTTACGATATCAAAGTACGGGTAACTCACGGAGTATTAAGATGCTAGACATGTATTCACTAAGAGCTCGATTCAGATAGGTGAAATATACAGAATAACAAGATATATATATATGGATTGATTACAATACGAAACATGTAACGTAATCCGGCTTGAAAAGGCTGTAGGATAAATGGCTGGAACATGGCATGTGATTACCGCCATAGAACGCTTTACATGAACCCAATTTAATCAGCACTCTCGTATATTATTACAAAGACTTGGCATTTCATTATAACACGCATGCTCAAGCAACATTTTCATCAACTATTAGCCCATAGGTATTTGCCGATATTATCCTCCCATTTTTTACAGCTTCGACCTCGACCTCACATCAACCGGTGCCCACCAAGGGTATCCCGGAGGCGCATTCTCATCTATCGTATCCTTAAACTCAGGCTGCCTCTTCTGCAGAAAGCTCTGAATCCCCTCCTGTGCATCATCGCTCCGAACGAGCGAGTAGAACAGCTTGCTTTCCACAAGATGGGCCTCCTCTGGAGATGCCGGCGCGCGGTAGACCTGGTTCTTCATCACCGCCGCCGACACCAAGCTGACATTGGCGGCAATCTCATCCGCGATCCTCAGCGCCGTGGGGAGCACCTCGCCCGCCTCGACAACCTCGCTGAACAGCCCGTCAAACAATTTGTGGCCGGCAGGGTAGACTCCCCCCGTGGTAGCCAGATGCAGGGCCTTTGAGGTCCCAATCAGCCGCGGCAGGAAGAAGCTGCTGCACGCCTCGAAGCAGAATCCCCGACGGCCAAACACGAAGCCGACCTTTGCGTCCTTGCTCGCAACACGAATGTTGGCCGCCAGCGTCATGGTGATGCCCACGCCCACGGCTGACCCGTTGAGCGCCACCACGACCGGCTTGGTGCAGTTGTACATGGCGAGGCTGACCTGGCCGCCCTCGTCGCGGTGCACGTCTGCGTTGGCGCTCTGCTCCCCGCCGGCGTTGAAGTCCATGCCAGCGCAGAACATCTTGTTCTTGGGGTCCGACGAGGTCAGCACGACGGCGCGCACGCGCGGGTCCGAGGATAGCAGGCCGAAGGCGGCGATGAGGGACCGGGCCATTTCCTGGGTGAAGCCATTGTGGGCGGCTGGGCGGTGGAGCTTGATGATGATGACGGGCGTGACGGCGGCGGAGGAGGCTGGGTGGTGGGAGAATTGGAGCGTTGGCAGGGTAAAGTTGTTGTAGCTGGAGGGGAGATCGGGGGCCATCTTGAATGTTTTGTGGTGGGGGGGTAGGGGTGAGCTGAGGTTGTTTGGTTGCTGTGAGATTGATGTATATATGCTGGATTTTTGGTGTTGTTGAAGTTGAAGTTGAAGGGAAGAGACGCTGGCGGTCTGGGGTTTGAACAGCGATTGTTGCGTAACTTGATGAGTGCGGGGATGGGGGATTGATGTTAATTGCAGCTCTTTTTTTAAGATTATGAAGAACCTGTGATGGAACAAGGTTTGAATGAGATGAGATTCTGATGATGCCCTTCTGTAATACTCCGGACGGGATAGACTACAGTATGGATGTGATTACATGTCTAAGACGCTGGAGCCGTGGACCTCGGTTCCCCACAATGGCTGCTGCCGAGTCAATCTTATGAATGTGTGGGGTGCATATGAGCAGCTTTCTCTGCGCTCTAATAGGTGCTACCCTGTATTATTGGCATAGAATGAAATCAGGATGGCACTACTATCAGGTATTGGTTATAACTGCCCCATCATTAAATCAGCTTTTAAGAGACTGACATTGAAGGCATTCACTGTTTCGCTCTTCGCATCAAATTTAATTGCAATGTAATGTCTGACCGTAATTCCATAATGTGTATTATACGGGACAAAGTACAAACAGACTTGATAGAGTCTGTACCGCATCTTCCAACACTTGCCTCTGATCTTTATTCATCCCTCTATCAAGTAAATCGTAATCTAAATAGCTTCAAATCACATAATATAAATCACACAGCAGACATTGCGCATGGAAACGCTGCTCCTAATTCGCAGCTGATCTCTCCGTCACCTTCATCATGACTTTGCCAGCCGGCCCCGCCGTATACGCCCAATGTTGAATGGCATGGTCGCCTAGTTTCGTGTCCAAGTCGGTAAACGAATACTTTGGTTTATCCGAGGGATTGTGGTCCCTGAGCTCAAAGTCAAACGAGCGCGCCACCATGACAAGCATAATCTTCATCTCGTCCATGGCCAGTGGCTGGCCGAGGCAGGACCGCAAGCCCTTCTCAAAGGGACGGTACGCGTTGCGGGGAAAGCTCGGTTCTTCGGACAAGAAACGCTCCGGCTTAAACAGCTTCGGTTCATCGAAGTACTTGGAATCGCAGTGCATTGCGTGCTGGGAAATGGCGACGACCTGATCCTTCAAGGGATATGACCGTCCCTTATATTCCATGGTGGGCCTATTCGCTCTGTCAGACGAGGAAAATCAAGTTGGCATAGCAAATGAGGAACGCTGCTTACATGGTAGATGGCCCTACACGAATACTGAGGCCAGCATTGAACATCCTCAGGGTCTCGTTGATGACCGCCGTAGTGTATGCTAGATTCCTAATGAGCCCGGGCTGCTCCTGAAGCATCTGAACAGACTTGTCATGGTCCTTGTCAAAGACACGGTCGTGTTCCTCTCTTAGCTTCTGGAGTGCTTCTGGGAATGCACTAAGAAGCATCAATATGTACTAGAATCAAGAGTTAGATCTCTCCTGTGCTGAAACGAGAGGAAAAGGTAGAGAGAGATAGTACTGTTGATGTATCCGCGGTGGTGCCGAATCCAGCGAGTAATAAGCCCTTTGCACTGCCCAAGGTCTGTTAGCAAACTCTTATACATCCAGGTGCCATATTGGGAAGGGTAGCCACCGTACTTGTCCAGTATTAGCTGCATGAGGTCCTGCCCCAAAGAACGTCCGTTCTGAACCTCTGACAGCATCATCCTATCAAGCAAGCTAGTGGCACTACTCTTGGTTGAAGCAACGTCCTGCTGTTGAAGGGCAGTGAACCGAGCTCTTATTTTTGGCTCGAGAGCTGTTTCTATACGTTTCCACTTACGCCTCACATCCTTGCCAAGCCGCCACTTCGTAAAAGGGTTATCAGTACAATTGACGGCAGTCTGGGCATCAAATGCGGCGCAGATGTCTTTATAGATTTGTGCGCTGAGTGTCTCATCCAAAAGGACTTTTCCCATCACGTTGAACGGAAAGTGGCCAAGTTCGTGACGTATATCAGCAACCTCGCCAGATTTGGCTATACCCCCGAAGCGGCGGCGAATAGCTACAGCCTGCTCGACGATAGTGGGATAGTATCCCTTTACAATACTTGGAGTGAGCCCAGGTGCGAGCGTTCGGTGCAGATGTTTCCAGAGGGCTCCATTTGTCGCTTCGATAAAACCAGTACCGACGCCACGGTTGAAAAAATCGGTCACCACCTCGTGCTGGTCAAAGGTATTCTCGGTTGTTGGGATAGCACAGGCTTCGGGAGCAGCGAGAATCATGAATTGCGGGCCAAGTGGCCAGAGGTCAAGGTAGAAGATGTCGGGGAGATTGTAGTCAATTTTGAGCTGCGTGATGGTAGGCTGGATGTACGCTCCCTGGGGGAAACTCTTAACGTACTGGCCAAAGATTTTCAAGTGGCCCCAAAGCATCGAATGCGGCGGGCATGGCTAGATAGATTGGTTAGTTTGAATTTTTCGTTTTTCCTTTCTCCCAGTGGAGAGCTGCCGGCATGATTGACCACGCAAGCAAGTAGAAGCCATACCAGGTCACGATACTTTAGACGGTGGTGGACGAGTCGCACTGCAAAGTACGCCACCGCAGTGACGGAGCCCGCGACCAGGAGCCACAGCCTGTCGATGGTCATCGCAGTATAGATGCAATGAGATCGGTCTGGTCGGCCAGAATATCCAAATAAAATTGAGAATTCGACTAGTAGCAAACAAACGCGGCGTTGAGCTGCACTTATACGCCGGGCTAGCTACCTACTAGGAGCTGATACCATAAGATTTTGGGGCAATGGCGCTTGATTCGCTACCATTACCCCCCCGGTTTGAATTCGATAGCTTAGATAGGCACACATAGCGTGCTTTATGGGGAGCCGTCTAAATTTGGAAACATCCTTCCAAACGATGAACCAAGAGCCACGCTGCAGCATCAGATACATCATGTGCAATCCGTTAGATTGTGATATATTAGATTGTGGGTGGAGCCACAGATCCGTCCCAGCGAAACCTGGAATGCGGAGCGAGACCCATTCACCGTGTGTATTGGCCAAAAGATGGTGCGCACTGTGCATGACTAACCACCATAAAGCTTGGAGCTAGTGCGCATGGCAGGATCCGAGCATCTTCTCCACCTAAACACAACCATGAGCTCAACCACATCGCCGCCAAATCATGGGCTATGATTGGGAGAGCCATAAAGAAACATGTCATCGGCTGTACATCCGCCAGGGGTGGTCCCTCGAGCGCATCATGGCGTATCTGAGGACCGAGTTTGACTTCACACCGAGGTAAGACGAATCATGCACTGCATTGGTGAGGAATCCTTTGACGGCCCTTTTCCATGTGAAAGTAGATGCTTGCGATGCTCGCCACGCCGCATCATAGCATAGTAAATGTTCTACGCGGTGCGGAGGAAATTAGAGCATCTACCTAATTGAATTCAATGCTTAAAATGAGAGACTGCGATGCAAAGTGTAGCCAAAGACGATGGAACTGACATTTGATGACAGTCGACGTGCCTTCCAGAGCCAGTTCCGGCGCTGGGACTTCCCACTCAAAACAAAGAGCCGTTGCCAAGATGAGCGGCTCCTGGGCCGTATCAAGGAGTTGTGGGAGCAGAATTTTTCTCCCAACGAGATGATTAAAATGCTTGTCGACGAAGGCTTTGATGCCGGTCCGCATGAAGTAATGAAGCTGCGTCTTAAGAATAGATGGCTGTTTCGCGGGCCGAACAATGAAAAAGCAAAGATTGTCGATGCTACTGCTGCCGACTCAAACCATGAGCTGGAACTACAGGAAAATTTGCAATCTTCTGCTTTGCTGGATGTGGATGTGGACGATAGTAACATATCTCTGCCGCACGACGAGAAAGGGCAAGGGGGAAGGGGAGTGGAAAGAGAAAAAGAAAGAGAGCTGGACGCTGAAGACGCAAACGAGGCTATATCAAACCATCCTCTTTCCACGCCCTCGCCTGGACCCGCACACGATGATGATGCGAACGCTACCGAGCCTATGGAAAACCAAGCTGACAAGCATAAGAAGAAACGAAATCGATTCAAGACGGACGCCTCTGGAGCTATTGTACGGTTTCCTTCGGAAATGACGATTGATGATGCTCGAAACAAGTTGGGTCTAGACAAGACTACATATCGTTTGCTCCGTACTGAATTTCGCAACATTTGTACGGCCATGGATGTCAGTAAAAAATCTGCCGGATCCGACAAATGGGAAGCTGCCAAGACTCGTCTTCTGCACGAAAGGCCCGAGCTGTACCACAAGCTGTGGACGCCCGAAGATGAGTTGGAAATGAAACAGGCCGCGTTGGATGTCATCTGTACAGATATTGCGAAAAGGATGCGCTCCATGGATACCAGACTGAGCGTAGCGGAAGTCAAGAACGCATTAGGAATGAACCCACAACAAGCAAGAGATGCCCGAGTTGCCTTCAATGAGGTGCTTATCGAAGCCGGGCTCACCAGAAAACTTGATTCCACGCCCACATCTCAGCAGTGGGGTAATTTGAGAAGGCTATGGGGCAAGCGTTCAGATGTAATCAAGAAGATTCTCGACGACATAGACAGCGATCCCAGTGATCGTCTGAAAGTCAAAGCTCTTGATGTATTATCACGAGACACTTTGAAAAGACTACGCGACAATCGCGCCAACAGAAGCTCGAAAAAACAGCGACCGTCTGGACGAATTGAATCAGACATGAGTCAGATCTCTGCTGATGGCATGGACACCAACCATGATGATACCGGCCTACTACTCCATCCGCAGCTCTCCCCTGATCAGATAGACCTTGGAGATGGCTTGTCCACAAGCGCACTTGATGATGTGTCTGATGCTTCATATACTACTCCTCAAGCTATGTTGAGTCCCGAGAGTGGCGCTATACCGTCTTATTTACCTCTGTCTTTGCCACCTTCTGGCATGGTTGGCGTGTCTTTAGATGCTCCAAATGCCGCTTTACGACCGCAACCTCGTCCCTTACCTTCTCAGCGAATCTTCAATCCCGCAGGAGCCCCCAACGTGCATTTAGATTCAACGGTTGGACAATCATTATTACTTGCATCAAATACGGGCACAAGCTTCCTAAATGCGCCATATGTAGCTCAACCATATGACTCTTCAAACCCTTCGACGCAAATGTTTCATCATAATCCTCCAATATTGACAGCATACGCTGTCTATTTCCGAATGCATCCATCGTCAACCTTTATTACTAGCGAGCCTCTATGGATAGCTACTATGAACTCCAAATCGGTTCAGGAGCTGCGACATGCTGCAACAGAGAAGCTGCCAGGAGCGGCCTGTCTTAGGATTGAAGGCATGGTGAAGGATAGCAACGGCAGCGACGTACCCTTGGTAATTAACAGCGACGAGCATCTCGGTGCTTTTTTATCATATAGCCTAGGAGAGACACCGACTTTCCTTGTTCAACTGGTGTGGAAAACTGGCGATGTTGGCCGCTTCTAATTCGTCTGCTGGTCCTGGGAGCGCCATAGAAGCAGCTCTATTTCTTTTCTTTTCTATACTTGTCATTTTTTTTTTTCACCCCCTCGAGATTGAGACCAAAGAGTTTTCAAAGCATATAAATGGAGTATTCATTTCATTTTTATATGTTTCTTCAAAGTATGGTTTGGATTACAGATGTGTGCCTTGGACGCACATTTTGGCCGGCATAAAGATTTTTGGCAGAAGATACGAGACCAGGAGTCAAGTCGCCGTCTTAGAATTTTAATGTGTTTCTGATTTTGATTGATTTAGCGTGCATTTTAGAGCGAATAGGAATTATGAGATCGGTTAAACAGAACCTTTATAATATTACAGAATAATGTATAATATTATTACAAACAATGGTACGGCCCCTAAGGGAATGTTACGGTGAGAAAAGCTAGCATTTGAATCCAAGTGTAGATGAATGAATTGCCCAAGTAGGCAATCGGCGCCAAATACCGAATCTACTTACCCGCGGCTATGCAGCCACATACTACATACCATATCTCAGACCCACCCCCACTATCGCAAAAGTCAAGCTTCGCATTTCCCAATCGCGAAGTTTCAATGCAACGACAAGCCAGACACGCCCTTGTCGTTTTGAGCGCCTGATTGCCTGCTGCGGCTGGCCAAGACCCATTTTCACACATCCAGAGCCTTCGAAAAGCGCGACCGATGCTCAAGTGCGGTTCGGCAGCGCATCCCTTGCGCCGGGGAGCAGCTCTGCAGAGCTTGGCTGCGGCGGCCCGGCCGAGAGCAGCTGCGGCACTGCGACACTACGCAACGGACATTGAGCCAGAGAGGCCGAAGCCTCCCAGGGAGGGAAATGAGAAGAAGCTGGGGAGGACGTTCCAGGGGCAGGTGATGGGCAGCATTGGCGCGCGACTGCGGAGAGAGAGGGAGCAGCGAGAGCAGTATGAGAAGTGGAGAGACATGACGGATCCTTCGAGGAACTGGATGATTACCTTTCGTGAGCTGCCTTGACATCTTTGGCTATTCGTGACATTATTGCTAACGTCTGTGGCGTGCCTTTTTAGTTTTCCTGTCGAGCATTGGCATTTCCTACTGGCTGGGGACATACCGGCCACGAGAGCCCGAGCCGGACTCGACGCTGCCGCTATCGAAGACGAGGCCGCCGACACATAACGTCAAGCTGGAGAACATGCAAGCAGCATGGGCAGACTTTGTCAAGATTGTCGGCAGAGATAATGTGAGCACCGATGAGATGCAAGTGAGCGCGCACATCACGTCCGAGTGGTCGACGCATCCCGCCGGTCCGGAGGACCGTCCATTCTGTGTGGTGTATCCCGGCTCGACGGAGGAGGTCTCGGAAATCATGAAGATTTGCCACCAGAGAAAGATTCCTGTCACTGCCTACAGCGGAGGAACTAGTCTCGAGGGACATTTTACGCCAACGAAGAAGGGCATTTCTATCGACTTTGGCCGGATGAACAAGGTTCTCTCTTTGCATGAGGAGGATCTCGACGTCGTTGTCCAGCCTGCCGTTGGCTGGGAGGAGCTGAATAACGAACTTGCAGAGAAGGGCCTGTTCTTCCCTCCTGACCCCGGCCCGGGCGCCATGATTGGAGGCATGGTCGGAACCGGATGCAGCGGCACGAATGCTTACCGATATGGAACCATGCGGGAGTGGGTTCTCAGCTTGACCGTTGTCATGGCGGATGGCACAATCATCAAGACTAGGCAGCGCCCTCGCAAGAGCTCTGCTGGTTATGACTTGACGAAGCTATTCATCGGATCTGAAGGCACTCTTGGTCTCGTCACAGAGGCTACGCTCAAGCTGACGGTCAAGCCCGAATCTACGAGCGTTGCTGTCTGCTCATTCCCTACTATTCACCACGCAGCCACTTGTGTGAGCGAGGTCGTTGGGAAGGGCATCCCCGTTGCGGCAGTGGAGATCTTGGATGACAACCAGATGAAGTGCATCAACATATCCAAGACCACCTCACGCACGTGGCACGAAGCTCCCACGCTCTTCTTCAAATTTACCGGCACACCTAACGGCATCAAGGAGCAGATCGCCCAGGTCAAGGCTCTTGCCTCGCAGACCGGAAGCAAGACATTTGAGTTTGCTAGAAATGACATTGAGCAAGAAGAGCTGTGGAGCGCGAGAAAGGAGGCGCTTTGGAGCACCATGTCTGTCAAGAAAGAGGGCGACAGAGTGTGGACTGGGGACGTGGCCGTTCCGATGAGCAAGCTGCCGCAGGTGATTGAGGAAACGAAGGAGGACATTCAAAAGAGCGGCCTGTTTGCAACGATTGTTGGGCATGTTGGAGATGGAAACTTTCACAGTAAGGATTGCTTCTAATTGAACGAGTGAGAACGATGACTAACTACTAAATCAGCCATTCTTTTATACAACGAGGCTCAGCGAAAGAAAGCAGAGGCAGTTGTTTCGCGGATGGTCAAGAGAGCGATTGCGCTTGAGGGCACCGTTTCGGTAAGTCAAAAGCCCCATAACTCAACCTTGACCTGAGATGCTGATTGATGGATTTTTTAAAAAAAATTAGGGAGAACATGGCGTTGGCCTAGTTAAGAGGGACTACCTCCCGCATGAACTTGGTGAGACGACGGTGGATGCGATGCGCCAGGTAAGTCTCTTGTCGCCATTCACTTTATTATGTGTGGTTGGGATGTAGTTAACAGAGTGATGCAGATTAAAAAGGCCTTTGATCCTTTGTGCTTGTTGAATTGCGACAAGGTTGTTCGCATGCAGAAGCCGAAGAGTGGCGAGGCTTAAGCTGAGGTGGAAGACGGGTGGATGTTGAACTGCCTACATGCTCGACAAAATGCACGAGCTTGGTAAGTCTGATGAAGATGGGCATGCGAATTAATACTGTACTATATACTATATATGAGTGTAAGAAAAAGAATACACGCCAAGCTTTAACTACTAATATGTTGATACGTTGCCCGTGGTCGATGGAAGCTCTGCTTATCTAATCTTCCCCAGGCGGCCAGGCGCCCCACGTCATACCGTCATTCGGGCAATCACACGCTTGCTGGTCCCTGCGCCAACTTGAAGCTCGTGACGCTGTCTCGCCAATTAGTGACATTCCTGCCTTTGCTATTCTATGATTGCGAATCCCTCTCTTCCTTTCTCTCGACATCGACAATCGCCTCTGTGATATCGTCGCACTTGAAACTTCGCACAACATCCAAACAGTCTATATCCCAGCATCGCCCCGCCATCTACAATCTATATACGGAGTGTGTCACTGCTTTCGCAACCCCGCCAACCCCTGGGTCTGTCGCGTTTCCATCTCACTCCCCCTATGGCGCTCTTTACGGCGCAGCTTCATCCCGGCAGGGCCCTTGGATTCTTCAGTAAGTCGAATCTATGAAGCTAGGCTACATGATCCACTTCCAAAGCTCGGTTTGTGCCTAACCCATCTCCGTCTGCTAGTCCTTGGCGCGTCCGTCCACGATGTCTTGACTCGGGTCAAGGCAGAGCCGCAAGCGTTCCCGAAACTCGAAGTCCTCTACTCCAAAGATCAGCCCGTCACCGAACAAGTATGCGTCGTGCTACCACAGAATGGCATCAGGCTGCGGTTCGACGGTCCTGAGCAGCGCCTTCGACTGATCGAGGTGATCGATTTCACAAAGAGTCACATCACCTTTAAAGATCGAGACCTGGTACGGCCAGCTGGCGCTACTGCTCCCGAAGTACCTGGAGAGTCATCGGCAGGGCCGACTTTCAGACACATATATCATCGACTGCTGGGCCCAACGTACGCGGGCGAGTTTATACCCCCGGCGGGCTCTCAGGGCAACGGAATATACGTGCTATCATACCCTGGCGTGGCTTTCAACTTCTCGGTGCCTACATCAGTATACTCGGCAGACAAAGATGTTGTCTCATTACTTTCTGCCTCGTCGTCTCAAATTGCAACTTCCATGGCGATATTTAGCGGGAATTCTTGGGCGGAAGTACGGCCAACGCTTTGGACGGAGGTGCTGCCTAGCGTCAAGCTGACTTCGATGCTACCTCGAGGAAAAGACGTTTACCCTGATGAAGTGTCTTTGGTACGACTACATGGTGGAGGCAAGATACAGCTATTTCGAAAATGGACCACCAGTTCTTTTTGGGTTATTCTTGGAGAGACAACGCCGCAGGATCTGGTGGCAGAACTTGGGCCGCCGAATGCGATATATCGCAAGAATGATCAGAAAATGGTCATCCACAAGATGCGAGCTGCCAGTAATACACATGGACGCCCTAGTATGAAGGACCTAGGGCGACCGGACGAGTCAACGGACACAGATCAGTCATCAATGCACACCGGGTCTGATGAATCAGAGAATGAAGCCGCGGTTGAGGAAGATGGAGGAAGCAATGCGTCAGGAGAGTGTTTCTACAATTATTTCTATTTTGGCTTTGACATACTCATGTCTACGCCTGTTCCCCCCTCCAGCCTACCCCCCGGCGAGACGAAGGTGCCAGACGATATTGGGAATGGAATCAAGACTCATGCTCCTGATCGGCTAGTCGCGACAAAGTTGGTGCTCCATGGTAACATACCCGGCTCATACGAGTTCAACCGCCACCGCCGATGTCGATGGGAGATTAGCTACCTGGATGACCTGTCTAGCGATGCCGGCCCCGTCAACTCGGAGATGGAATTCAAGACGATTGAGAATCTTATGAGCAGAAAATGGGAGGGGGTCTATCCCACGGACAAGACTCAGCCACGACAAGGGGGTATGGTCCTGAACCGCGGCTGGGGAGACAGCCCAGGCAGCAGCTGCGAGTTTCTCGGCGGTTGGGAGGAAAGCGGGGCGAGAAGACCAGAGGCGAATGGCGATTCTACGACTACGCTGTATGGATTTCCAGGGATGGTGTTTGAGGTCTTGAAGAATGATTATGTTAATACATTGACGGTGTTTTGAATATCGGGCTTTCTGTTCAAAGTACAGAAGGGGAAAGGGTTTGGTATTGATAAAGAGAGAATGGAGTTTTGCATATATTTCTACGGGAGCGACTTTTTGTATTTTCGAGACTTTCCTTTTCTCTTGGGTTCCTCTTTTGGACTGCTTTGGGTTGAGATATCATGTAACAGATTATGCATAAACATACTTGGAACCATTTTGTGATTTCTTGAATCTATTTCTGGTTTCTTGTCCACTTCGTAAGGATCGGTTTATAATATAATTTGGATGAGACTATTTTAGTTGATCTCACTTGACAATCTTCATCTTAGATTAGCTCCTGTGGCTGGAGACTGTAGAAGCTTTGTGCCGAGTAGAGAAGCTGACTGGCTTGCGCAAGGAGCAGCGTCTAGAATGAAAACGGATGTGTCTTTCGGGTAGAAATGCATCTTATTCGGGTGCGGAGCATTACATTTTGCACGACATACTACGTTGACTATACCTGACACCGTAATTTGAGGTTAATTTAGCCTTGCTGCACGCGCTAAACCTGTGTGGTGATCCGTGATTATGTCCGTCATCTTTCGAATCCTACCAAGAGGCGCCGTTGCTACTAGAACTCTGTTGGATCCGCCCTATGCAAATCCTCCAAATGCCAGTCACGGGCAAGGCGTAATTCGGGAGGGGAACCTTCGCTGGAGATTCACCTGCCTTGGACCGTGTATTCGCCCCAAAACAATGCCCATGTATTGAATCCATTACTAAATGTCCATGTCCGACTCGTAAGCTTGTTTGCTGCCATTGACTTACCACCAAATATCCAGGGACAGGTCCAAAGTGGCCAACTTTGCCGTATCATGGCTGAGCCTCTAATCAGAAGTGTTCTCGTCGTTGGCGGAGGAGGCTTTGTGGGATCGCACGTTGTTCGCGCTCTTCTGCTAGAACCAGACTGTGACATCTACGTGGCAAGCAGGACGCCCAACAACCACCCGGATCAAGACGGCCGCATTACGTACATGACGGCTGATGTCACAGACGAAGCTCAGCTCACGGCACTCTTCAGCACGATCAATCCACAGGTTGTCATCCATACCGCCTCGCCGTCACCGACAGCACCGGCAGACGTGCTTGAGCGCACCAACATTGAAGGCACTAGAAACCTGCTAAAAGTGTCGGCTGCAAGTCCCGAGACGCGTGTATTTGTTTACACGTCCTCTGATTCTGCTCTTGTGCCAACCCAGGAGCCCATCAGCGAGGAACAAGGACAGCTGTATACAGCACAGCATTATAGTAATCCATACGGCAAATCTAAAGGCATCGCTGATGCACTAGTCATCGCCGCCAATAGTCCTACCCTGCGAACAGCAACGTTACGGATCCCCGTTGTTTATGGAGACTACGATTACAAGAACCTACTGCCGCAGCTCCTGGGGAGCATCAAGCGAGGCGCGCATAGGATACAGATTGGTTCTGACATCAAAGTATTCGAGTTCTGCCATGCCCACAAGGCAGCAGAGGCGCACGTGTTGGCGGCCAAGGCGCTGCTGCGTCTTGATTCGGGCTCCTACGACGGCCCTCGGCCTGATGGCCAGGGCTACTTCATCAGCGACGGAAAGCCGCAGCCGTTCTTTGAGTTTATGCGGCGCTGCTACGCTGCTGCTGGCGTTCCGGTGGGACCAAACGAGGTGAAGGTCATTCCGTTGTATGTGATGCAGGTGGTTTCTTCGTGCACTGAATGGGCGTTTACGATCTTGACGCTGAATTACAAGAGACCGACTCTGCGGCGGCAGAATATTGATCATTTGGATCGCGGCTGTTGCTGGGATATTTCAAAGGCGAGGGAGAGGCTGGGGTACCGGCCGGTGCATGATCAGGATGAAGCTATCCAAAGCATGATGAAATGGGGCATGGAAAACATTGGGGTCTAGGCCCACGCATGTACGAGGTTGAAGACGTGTGTGGTGGGCTGGATGTTAAAACGACTGCATTCTTACGGGTGTCTTGTTTCATTCTGATCTGGTACTACTTATACATGCGGTTGAATCCGTGAGGAGTGATTGGGATTGACTGTGTTGTCATCACCGCATATACAGTTCCTCGTCGTATAGTATGGCATTCAAGGCTTTTCCTCTGGTCAAATACCCGCTGTCTCTTACAATGCACAATGGGGTCAAAATGACGCTTGGCTGCTCTTTCGTATGACTGTTCTTAAATGAAGACACCGTTACGGCATTACATTAACACACTAAGATAAAGTCGTTACAAAGCGTCGAATCCTTTAATTTCAGTTCAAAAACGGTAAATGGAGGGCGAATATGCAGTTTAGTTAATTTCATGCTGCAATTATTCCCATGTGATACGCAGAATAGAAAAAGAAAGAACGGAGATTAGATCTGCATTTCCGAATGGAGCCAGGGCTTAATTCCACTGCTCTTAGCTCACCATACCTAGCTTATATCTAGACTGTTTCAACAATCCTTTACAATCTAGATCTATCAAAAGAATACGACGTCTGTCTCCAATCCTTGCCAAATTGTGGCAGCCTGATATATCGGCTGTCGCTTCTCGGAGCTCCGAGCAGTGTGGGTTTTAATCTGGCAAAGATGCCTTTTCAACATTAAGACCGGCACATCGGCCTTGCTTAACGACCGCTCCGTGAATCAAAGTTTGTGATGCAAATTCTTCTGCATGTCGAGACCGTAACTCGGAACAACAAGTACCAAGTTGTGGTGGGCTTAGCGGCGCCATCATAGTTTGCTTCTGATAATGTCCTAGCCTGAGCTAGAGTCCAGTGATTTGGCGTCTGAAATACGCATCTGGTTCATCTACTGGTTGGTGTCAATACGTTTCTTTTTTTGTGGCTGGTTTCTCCTTTTGTTGTCTCTCAGGTGATGGCGGCTGTTTATTTGTCGTCTTTGAAATGGCTTCTAATTCGATTAATCTCAGTCCCTCATCGATATGAACGCTCATGTCTTGGGCTTTTGCAGCCTGTAGAGCTGCTGCATCGGCACGAAGGTTGCCCTCAACCCCTGAATGGCCAGGGACCCAGCGTAGCTCAACACGAACTCCAATTCGGTGAAGGTACTGCGATCTAGTGACGAGTTTACGGATAATGGGATCGCTGATCACTTGAGCATTGGTGACAGCCTCCTTCTCTCGAAGCTTCCTAACTTGCTCCAGAGCACTTGTACTATCCGAGAAGATCACCACACTGTGACCAGTAGCCATTCTTCCGGGACCAATATTGTCTTGACTCCTCAATATCATCACCTCCTCTGTAGCGACGGCTAAACCGTGTGCGATAGCAAATAGTTCTGCCAATGTTGAGCATTGCTCGTTGGGCAAGGCAAAGTGCCTCTCTTGCCAGCCTTGGCTGCTTTGAAAAGACTTGTAGACAACAGCGGCGCCGAGATGAGCGACCAATTCCGATTCACCGTGAGTAATAGAAGATTGTGACTTGTTCTTAGGCTTCAAGACCCTGGAACCATCTACAAAAAAGACCATGTGCTGGCAGTTAGCATTAGATTCCGAAGACATCTCCTTTGCCATAGCAATAGCATCGCTTTTGGATTCTCCAATTATAACATCTCCGGAAAAACCCAATTCTGACGTGGCATCCAATAAAAGTCTTTCTATACGATAGTTGGCCTTTTGGTTCATCACCGTCGCTACCTGGCATTCAATTTCGCGGATTACCGTCTCAATTTTTTTGTACCGTTCATTAAAGTGACCAAGATCTGATCTAGCCTTGTTTTTTGTCTGAGAGACCTTCTTTACTTGAGCATAGACTGGAGAAGACAAGCATAGATGACGGGCGACATTTCGAGTGCCGATATAGAAGCGAGGAGTGCGTCCCTTTATACGTGCGCCTCCAATCAGATAACCGTCGTAGATGCTGCGATTAGAGGAACCTTACCGCTATGATGCTTGCTAGGCACCTTTCCATGGCTTCTTTAGTAATCGACTGTTTATTCGTTTCTCCCTCTCTCTCTCAAGTGTTTACTGCTTCTTGGTCAGCACGCCAGTTGGGCTCGGGCAGCGTTTGCCTGTACTTGCCTAGCTAGGTAAATCCTGGTGGAGCTGGTTGGTGCTAGCTGTGATTTTAGGAAAAATATGGTGATGGCGCGCTAGCTTAGCCGGTAGCTTGGAAAACACTAAATGCTAGTTTGGAGCCGCTGGATGGGGAATCCAGGGAAATACGCCGTATTCGCGTATTTGCCGTTGCGCGGGAGAGTAACTTCCGGCCAACAATGTCGGTGAATTGTGACTTGGGGGCTTAACAAGCAAGGGTGGACCTCATTCACCAGACTCCTATTATCATCTATCCTTACCGGGCTTTTATTCTTGGTTGGCGAAGTGCTGGAAATAACGGGATATCGCGGATAGGAACTGGCCCTTGCACTGAAGGAGGCTTCAGCCTCAAGCCACTGCCAAGGAATATCTGGGCGCTGAGCAAATCCTCCCAGGGCCAGTCTTCCGAATGCCTTCGTGGAATAACAAAGCATCTTAAGTAATGTGAAATCGCAAAATCGTAGCCCTGCTTTGGGCTGTAACTGCTGTCCCTTTTACCGTGCCCTGTAACAACAAATTGTAGGCCTCCCAATTCCAGTCATGCACTACGCCATGTACCGCCCGGGGCGGATTTTTTTTTTTTTAAGTGGATTCGCAGTGGTTAAGGGGCCGCCGGAAGCTGGAGTGAGAGCCGCCAGTCGATACAGGCGGTATCACATCACTTCGTATTCAAGCCTCGGTCACCAACAGTCGTGCAACCTGCAATGCTGAATGCTGGACAACCACAATCGCCCGATGCGGGGGATGCTTACGTGGGCTCGTCTCCCTTCATTGTTCCTTCATCTATACTGTCATTGAAGCGATATCCTCTGATAGCCAAAGTATGACAAACAGCCCCATTCTTACCGCCGAGCTCCCAATCTAACAGGCCCTTCGCGGGAGTCTATTTTAATTCGCGTCGCTGCTCGGGCTTGCGCAAACACCGGGCCTGGAGACGAGCCGCACTCCAGCTAGAAGCAAAGAGGCAACACGGGCGCCCGATAGTTGCTGAATCCAGCGTCAGCTATTCCCAGGTGCTGCTGTCACTGGCCTATCCTGTCAGCCCAGCGCTGGCACCCGCTCTCGGCCGATGCCATGCAGGGCCGGGATGAGATGGCACGCCCCCGCTTATGGAGCCTTGCAGGCGAAAAGGTTCCAATGTCGGGGAGAAAGTGGTGCAAACTCCAAGTCGGAAGGCGTCTAATTACTATACACGTACATGAGTGTACTTGTGCATAGTATGTGCGGTGAGCTACGGGGGGTCGTGCGCTCGTGGAGAAGCATCCAGACGACGGCATCCAACACGGTCGACGGCGATAAACGGGCTCTAAGCTCCCTGCGCAGCTCGCAACATGGCCACGAGCAGGAATCCAGATCCGCATCGTGCAGTTTGCCTCCCGCCCAGCAAGCAAGCTGCACTTGTGCCGTGCCGGTTTCCGGGAATCGGGCCAAGCCCACGCCGAACCTACAAGCAGCCCACCTTTCGTACATACGAAGCGCAACCCATCTTGTCGCTTTAGTGGGCCAGCCGATGGCTTTTGGTATATCTTTCCGGCTTTTTCTCAGTTCCAAACGCAGATGCATTTTGAGGTTTCATTTTTCCATACTCTACTGGGGGAGGAGACGATCTGTGGCTCCCGTCGACTGCCACCTTTCTTCTATATAATCATTCGCATCCCCTTTCCTGGATAGCCAACCTAGCTCATCTTCCTTTTCTCCCATCCCCTTTTCTCATCCAGTCGATTCCCGTCCTCTGTCTCCCTATAAAAGGCGAACAAAAGGCGGCTCTTCAAGGCTTTGCGCTGGAGACGGGATAAGGAGAAAAATCGACATAGATCGTCACGAGATATTGCCACGCGAAATCTCCACTAAAAAGTCTCAGCAATTCCCAACCCCGTCCATTGTGTCGCGGCCGGTCGACGCCTCATCATGGCTGCTGATCAAGCCACAACGCCTGACGGGCGAATCAGCTCAGACGACACAGTAAATGCTGCGCGCAGCACCGATGCCGAGCTCAAGGCCACCGAAGCTGGTGTTGATATCGGCCGAGGATTGGGAGATAAAGATATTGGTATCTCGTCAGTCGAAAAGGAGGATGAAGCATCCGCATCTGCATCAGCATCAGCATCAACAACGACCCCAGCTGCCGAAGGGCCTCCAACGCAGCAGCCGCCAGGACATGAACCCGAGGCTGGACGGACAAAGGTCGAGACCGTCCTGGTCATCTTCGCCTTGTGTCTGGCGCTGTTCCTAGCCGCTCTTGACATTACCATCATCACCACTGCCATCCCGACCATCTCTAATCACTTCAACTCCAGCGCCGGCTACATCTGGATTGGAAGCGCTTATATGCTCGGCAACGCCACATTCGTTCCCACATGGGGCAAGATTTCCGACATCTTCGGCCGCAAGCCCACCCTCATCGCTGCTGTTTCCATCTTCTGGATTGGCTCGCTGGTATGCGGCCTTAGCAACAGCATGGGCATGCTTATCGCTGGTCGTGCGATTCAGGGTGTTGGCGGTGGCGGCGCCATCGTCTTGCCCAATATCTGCGTCTCCGATCTTTTCTCTATGCGCAAGCGAGGCATGTACTTTGGCATCTTTGGCATGATTTGGGCCCTTGCTTCATCTATTGGACCTATTCTTGGCGGTGTCTTTACCAGCAAGGTCTCTTGGCGCTGGTGCTTCTATATCAATCTACCTTTGAGTGGCGTTGGACTGATCATCCTCATCTTCGTTCTCAAGCTGCACAACCCGCGCACGCCCCTCAAGCAGGGATTGGCGGCAATTGACTGGCTTGGTAACCTCCTCATCATTGGCGGTACGCTTATGCTGCTTTTTGGACTCGAGTTTGGCGGCGTTCAATTCCCCTGGGACTCGGTTACCGTCATCTGCCTTCTCATCTTTGGCGTTGTAACAATTGTCCTCTTTGGCATCTATGAGGCTCGTTTCGCCAAGTATCCCGTTATGCCTACTCGACTTTTCCGTGACAGGACGAGCATTGCCTCTTATGGCGTATCTGTCCTGCATGCCATGACATTCATATCCGGCAGCTACTGGCTTCCTTTGTACTACCAGGCCGTTCTGGGTGCCTCATCTCTTCTCTCGGGTGTATATCTCCTGCCATACGCCTTGTCTCTGTCCGTCTTATCGGCCGCAACGGGCATCTTCATTAAGAAGACAGGCAACTACAAGATCCCCATCATATTTGGACTCAGCTTCATGACTCTTGGTTTCGGTCTCCTCATTGACTTGGGTGCCAATGCAAACTGGGCCAAAATCATCATCTTCCAGATCATTGCCGGTATTGGTGCTGGCCCCATCTTCCAGTCTCCTCTCATTGCTCTTCAGACCAACGTTGAGCCGCGTGATATTGGAGCCGCTACTGCCAGCTTCCAGTTTCTCCGTCAGCTTGGAACGTCTACCTCCGTCGTCATTGGCGGCGTCATCTTTGACAATGAGATGCAAAAGCAGCAAGCATATCTGATACGCGAGCTTGGCCCCGAGCTGGCCAGTAAGCTTTCCGGCGCTGAGGCTGCGTCAAGCGTGTTTTTAGTCGCCAGCCTCAAGGGTCACGCGCGAGAGGTTGCCAAAACAGCTTACTGGAATTCTATGCAGAAAATGTTCATTGCCTACACTTGCTTCATCTTCCTGGCCCTTCTCATTAGCTTCTTTATCAAGCAAAAGACGCTCAGCAAGCAGCACACTGAGCACAAGACGGGTCTCGCATCACTTAAGCAGGAAACAAAGCAGAAGCAACCCGATGCTGAGAAGGCTGTGGGTGCTGCTGAGGAAAAATAAAACGCATAATTGTCGCCTTCGATACCAATTTTTTAATACCTCATTTTACTTTACATTGGATTACGGCGTTGATGATATTCATGGAAAATGGAAGACGGGTGAAGAAGATTTCGGCATTTTAGGACAAGAGACGTCCTTTTTAGCAGCCTCTTCTCCTGGTTACATTGTTGTTAAGTTGTAGATTTTGCATATAGGCCAAGGCCCTCACCACTATATATGATGTTAATATTAAAAAGAAATGAGACACTTATATGACGCATGTCTTAGCCATTGTGAGATTCAAGTGGTTGCGCATCACTTCGTAGATTGGCCCTCATTGTCTAAGTCAGTCAAAATGGAAGGGCTGCAAAAAGCTGCGGTATTAGGTAATCAAAAGGTGCTAGGTGTTGCTGTGGTGACGGCTCTTAAGAACCCGCTCCGCTTAGTTAGTACCGAATACAAGGCGACAGTGACGACTATGCGTATGTGACTGTGTAGCTTATACTGCCCCCTGTACTCAGTATTTACTTTACCAAACGTACTTTTGTATCCCGGCACATACCTGCATACTTCGCACAGATCTTTTTCCCAGGCCGTTCCCCACTAAGAGAATTGAACTTGTGTCGCAACAGATAATTATTATTCCTTGATACCGCTTTTTTAATGATATTCTCCAATAACGGCTGTGTCTGCATCTTGGGTGTCTTTTGGCTGAGCGGGTCAGGCTTTATTTACGCACTGGCCGATTCTGCACTAGAGCGGTACCGTGGTACAATCTGCCGCCTAATATCCACGGCTTAATCCCCGCCTAAGGAAATATCAACAATAACAGTACACAGCCAGCCATACACACACATACCTTAACGAAAAAAAATTCAACGGCTGCCTTTATCGGCAGTGGTGGTCATACTGCTGTCAGAATGGCTCACCTTCGAGCACGCTCCGATCGGGAGCTAAGTCGAACTGCAATGAGCTCATCCGGTCCACGAGCAACCGCCGCCAGAAGTGGCACGCGTCTCGGCAGCGCCAGATCCTCGGCCATCTCAACAAATCGACATCTCGCCGCAGCGGCACGAGGCGATCGGTCGAGCGCCATATCCCCCGCGGAGTCGGCCATGTCTGCGACAGCGGCTGGGACGAAGCGCAAGGAGCGCGACTTTGAGGCCGACGTGGTGGTGGGGGGAGGAGAAGAAACCAACATCAATGTCGTGGTGAGGTGTCGTGGCCGCAGCCAGCGAGAGGTCAAGGAGAACAGCGCCGTGGTAGTCAACTCGGACGGCGTCAAGGGCCAGATGATTGAGCTCTCCATGGGGGCGAACGCGCTGAGCAACAAGACATATAGCTTCGATCGCGTGTTTTCGCCGGCGGCTGACCAGGCCATGGTGTTTGACGATACGGTGAAGCCTATTTTGGAAGAGGTCAGTTTTTTTTTAACTCTTTGCTCTGAGGCTTGTTGCGAGCTTGAATTGCTCCCCCGTATCCGGAATATGCTAACAAGATGGCCAGATGCTTGCCGGTTATAATTGTACGATATTCGCCTACGGACAGACAGGAACAGGCAAGACATACACAATGTCGGGAGATATGTCAGATACACTCGGTATGCTTTCTGACGAAGCCGGTATTATTCCTCGCGTGCTACAGCAGCTCTTCAACAAACTCGAGGTCGAGGGGAGCGACAGCTGCGTCAAATGCTCATTCATTGAGCTCTACAACGAAGAGCTCCGAGACTTGCTCTCCACCGACGAGAGCGCAAAGCTAAAGATTTACGATGACGCCTCAAGAAAAGGCCATGCAACTACACTCGTCCAAGGCATGGAGGAAAAACATATCAAGAACGCTGCCGAGGGAATCAAGGTGCTTCAGGAGGGCAGCTTGAAACGTCAGGTGGCGGCGACCAAGTGCAACGACCTAAGTTCTCGAGGCCATACCATCTTTACGATTACAGCATATGTTAAGAAAACGAACGAACAGGGCGCAGAGGAGCTTGTTAGCGCGGGGAAACTGAATCTGGTGGATCTAGCCGGCAGTGAAAATATCCAGAGATCAGGCGCTGAGAACAAGCGGGCAGTGGAGGCCGGCTTGATCAACAAATCACTACTCACTCTTGGGCGGGTCATCAACGCTTTGGTGGATCGCAGCCCCCATATTCCGTATCGAGAGTCCAAGTTGACCCGTCTTTTACAAGATTCGCTTGGTGGTCGAACAAAAACTTGCATTATTGCCACCATTTCTCCTTCGAAAAGCAACCTCGAAGAAACGATATCTACGCTTGAATATGCTTTTCGTGCCAAGAATATCCGCAACAAGCCTCAGCTTCATATGATTACAAAGAAAATGCTTCTCAGAGATTTCACCGTCGAGATTGAGAAACTGAAGAGCGAACTAATATCAACACGGCAACGCAACGGAGTTTACCTTTCAAACGACATGTACGAGGAGATGACGGCGCAAAGTGAATCAAGGCGGATAGTGATGGAGGAACAAAGTGCGCGACTGGAGACACTCGAGACAAACCTACGAAACAAAGTCCAAGAGCTCTTTTCCCTCAACATCTCATTTATGGGCATGAAGAAAGAAAATGAGGCAACTAAGACGCAATTGGAAGATACACAGGGTGTTCTGGACCAAACCGATATCATCCTCGCAGCGACGCGGAAGACGTTGGCAGAGGAGACTGAGCTTCGCAAGGCTCACGAGGAGACCGAAGAGAGACTGACAGAAATTGGTAGTGCTCTGATTGACAAGCTGCAGAAGACAGTAAAAGATGTCAAGGGCCTTCATGCAAAGAATAAGCGTAAATCAGACCTGCATTTGCTAAATCGAACGGCTTGGAGCTCGTCTCAGTCCCAAGTTGCTGAGATAACGTCAATGGTGGAAAGACGCATCCGTATGTTCCAAAAGGAGCAGCAAGAGCAAATCCTGGGCGTATCAAAAAGGATGGAAGTGTTTGTTGACGAAGAGCTGCAGAAGGTTTCAGCTACACAGGCTTTCTTGGAAGAGAATCTTGACACTTTTGCAGAGTCCAAGAGGCAACTTTTGGAGCAGAAGCAAAAGTCCAAGGACGACATGGATGAGGTGCTGGAAGAAATCAAAGAGATCCGCGACAATGTCAAGGAGAGAGTTAGCGAAAGTCTTCAGGCTATCGCACATGCTGCAGAGAAAATTGCTGGAGACGTATTGAGTGAGATGGCCGACTTTCATGGTCAGCTTCACACTTCATATAGCTCCCTGGGCAAGGATTTCAAGTCCATTTTCGAAGAACTCGTCCGACACATCACCACCCAACGCCTCGAATCCGACAATCTAAGGCGACAACTGCAGAGCGCTACGAACACCATTATGCTGCAAAATGCGAATATCTCTACACGCATGCAAGAGGCATTGGAAGAGGAGAGACGAGTGGCGGCTGAAGAACGTCAAAAACTCCTAACGCAAATCTCAGCATTGATAACTACTCAGGCTGAAGCGCAGGAGAGCCGATTCGCAGAGAGGACTTCGCAGGTCCAAAAGAACATGACCGATTACAACGCATCTCTCGAAGGGGCCATTTCTCAGTATGGCCAAGGTATGGATTCCTGGGACGAAAAGGAAGGCGAGCTGCTGGAAGAGGTCAAGAAGTCGCGTGAGCAGCTAAAGACAAAGCTGAAGGACGACTGGAACGCGGCAGAAGACCGCAGTAATGCTATCCGAACCACGGCCAACCAAGTACATGCCGAGACCGTACGGGTCGTAGGGGCTCAGATTGACGATTTGGATATCCAGATGGAGGCCATGGACGACTTTGTGGCTCGTGCGAAGTCTGAGAGCGGCACTCATCACGAAACGCATGTACAAGCTTTCCAGTCTCTGACTAATACAGTCGATCAGTCTTTCAGCAACATTTCTACTCACTTCAAAACCACCTTTGATCGTGTCAAGAATCTCGGCGAGGGCATGGAGCTCGATACTAGCGATCTACGCGATGGCCTTGAGCCCCTCACGTCTCAAATATGCCAGCCTCTAGCGAGCCTGCGGGAACAAGTTGGTAAAACAGCACTACAGGATTATCGACCAACTGGAGAAACTCCTCAGAAAGCACAATATCAGTTTCCCACGAGCCTGCCTCGTACTGAAGCACCCGACCTCATTTTCTCCAAGACTGGCGAAGAAACTCCTGACGAGGCTTCCACTGAGGCAGATGACAGCAGGAATACTATCGTCTTTGCCGACTTGGATGCCTCCGAAAAGATGAGCTCACCAACGCCGTCATCAGCCGATAGCCTCTCAGATAGGATCGCAAGGCTACGTGAAGTCAACCCCAACGTATCGACAAGCCACACTACCAGCGCCATCAACTTTGAACCTGGCTCAAGCCTCATGTCTGCCGCCTCAGATCACACTATGCCGCTGTTTAAGCGCAGCAACCGTTCTACGCGAACGAGCCTCAGGAAGCACGATTTGCTTGGCGAAGGCCGCGAGAATTTACCCCTGACGGCCTTATCAGAGGCTAGGAGAAAGAGCCCGCGGATGAGTTAGAGAAAAAGAGAGAGAGAGAGAGAGAGGAAAACAAAAAAGAAAACACAAAATATTTAATGTTATGACTTCGTTAAGATGATGGAGCGTTGTTTTTATTTGGATCTTTTCTTTCTAAGCGGCTTGGGGGGGAGGGGATCTGATTTTTGCCACATACACGAGCGGTTGCCTCTTTTTCTAATAGCGGTGTATGTAACATGTTGCATCATTGCTGTCATCATTATATTTACTAGCCCTTTGTTCCAAAGTCGACATAGCTTCATTTTCTGAGAGGGAGAAAGAGAATGGCTCTTCTGGGACAGTTTGTAAAAATGGAAGGGAGTTTGGATTGGTTTTATATGGGATGCAGAGCGCTCTTTTTCTCACACACGTGCACATACTACGGTGTGTGTTGGGCACTTTATTTTTTTCCCTCTTACTTAGAGAGAAGTGAGATTTGGAATTTGGAAGGTCATTGGAACGGATCGGGATTGGGCGGCTATTATATTGGTTCTCATGTTGTTACTGGTGCTAATTTCAGGGTTATTAAGCATCTGATACCCGTGTGTTTGTTTTTCTTTCCTCTTGTCTTCTTTCTTTTTATTTTCCATATTATGATTCAAGATAATAGTACGATAAGAACTCGGCTTTGTTTTGCATTTTGCACCTTGTTTTAATTATTATTTTGGTTCAAAGTCCATACCATACTTATTGCTAAGCGGCTCTTCCAGGAAACAAAACGCCCCATACCAAACTCCAATGTGCCATGCTTTGAAGCTATGATTTCTCAACATCTCATGTGTAAATGTCAGATTAGTACAAAGCCAATACAATAAGACATCCATTGTTTAAAATATCTTGGTAATGCTTTCTCTCGAAATCACACTATTCTGCTTCTCATCCCTCTTCACTCTAAAGAAGCTATCGCAAAAGTCACTGCAACGCATGTGCCTCAGAAACTCCTCGTCGTGCGTAATCACAATGAGCTGGAAGTTGCTCTGCTGCTGCCTCGCCTTGATGATGCGGTGCAGACTCTCCGCCAGGGACTTGATGTTGTCCCTGTCCAGGTTGGTCGTCGGCTCGTCCAGCGCAATGAGGCCGCAGTTGACGCCAAACGACTCGGCCAGGGCCAGGCGGATGATGATGCTAGCGAGGACTTTCTGACCTGCCGAGCAGCGGCCCCGCATGTCCATCTCGGTGTCCTGTTTGACCATGCAGAGGCGGTAGTTGTAATTACGCTTGCCGTTGCCGGTTTCGTTGTCGGAGCGGATAAGGATGGTGTCAATGTCAGTGCCCTGGTACGTTGTCTGCCATAGTTCGCTCGCGATGCGATTAACCTCTTCCATTTTCATGGTATGGTACTGCATCACCGCCTTATCGACAGCAGAGCTGCATTGGGCCAGATCCTCGATTGCCGCCTTTGTAGTTTCTACGCGGATATGGGATTCGCGGTACTTCTGCTTGGCGTCCTTGAAGTCCATCTCCCATTCCTGTAGGAGGCGGCCGAGCTCTTCATCCTTCGACTTCATTGTGCCCATGACAGATCCACGCTCAGCTAACAGTCGATTGGATGTATTCTCTAGCGAGCGGGCCTCTTCCTGGAGCCGTTCATAGTCCTCGTGAGCATTCCGATCTTCTAGGTCTTCAATGTCTTTGCGTAAGACGTCAAGAGTCCGCAAGTGTTTGCGATAATTCAGGTTATCACTTATGTTCTTCCTTTTTCGATCTCCGCTATCAATGTCTTGCTTGAGTTTGTTGGTTCGTACTGTAAGATCGGCAATCTCCTTCTCTGTAGTGCTGATAGCTGTGTCGAGAGAGGCGAGGGCACGCTGGTTAGATGCAAGACTAGTCAAGCCACCACGATCAACATAGTCTTGGATATCATTATCCATCTTCTTAATCTCGGCGATGGAGCTGGTGATGGCATCCCGCTCGTCGGCAATGACCTGCTCCTTTGATCGACCACGGCGAAGTGTCTCGTCGCGAGCTGATCGTGCCTCTATAATGCTGGGCTCTATCTTTTCCAACTCTTCATCAGTCCTCTGGATCACTTCGCGCTGATGGGCGTACTCTTCCTTGAGTATCTGGATCTGGTCCTGGAGATCTTTTTTCTTCTCAAGCTGTCCTGCGGTTCGGCCAATCTTGTTCCGTAACTCGCTCTTCTCAAGTTCAAGCGAGTTGATTTGGTCTTTCATCCGCTGCCTGTCAGCTGTGAGCTTGGTAATTTTGTTCTTCAAAGTTCTGATCTGCTCAGATATGGCTGACTGAAGCTCATGGATCTCTTCCACGCTGCGAGTCACCCCACCGGACGATTGCTGAGACACAATGCGGTCCACCTGGGCCTCGGCATCTTTGATTTCTCTGACAGTTTGGGAAATGTTCGCGACTGTTTTGGCTAAATCTCCAAGGTCTCTTAACTTCTCCTCCTCTGCAACAACCAAAGCGTCTTCCTCTTCGAGTTGTTTTTCCAGAGCCTCGAATTCATTCTCAGCACTTTTCCATTCGTCTTGGAGAGCGGGCAGCTCTGCTGAGAGCCGTTGATACGTGTCAAATGCTGAGCGCACCGCACGCAGTGCTTCCAGATTATCCACAGCCTCTTTCAAATCCTTTTCAGTATCTACCTTGCCTTTTGGATCCAGGTGCTTATCGATCTTCTTGCTCAGGCGATCAAGAGCAGCGCTTTGGCTATCGTCAAAATGACGATCGCATAGCCTGCATTTCTTTTGGGTATCCAACATACGCTTGCACTTATTGTAATAGTCAAATAGAGCATCAAAAAGGCTGAGATCAGTCCGGAGCTCTTCAACCTGTTGTTCCACAGCAGAAACTTCGTCCACATAGTCTTCTGCCACTGCATTATCACGCACATTTTGCAGCGCAGCAACAACTTCTTGCTTTCTCTTATTCATCTCTTGGGTCTTTTTGCCGTGTGTCTCCTTAGCAGTTTTGAGCTTGTACTCTATTTTTTGCTGTTTCTGCCTTGTCTGATCTCGCCGCTTTTGTGCCTCTTGGACAGCTTTGCCTTGGCGGTTCTGGATCGACTGGAATCGAGAATCTAGAGTATGCGGCTCCCAGTTGACCCCGATAGTGGTACTTAGTTTGGGTTTCCACGTCTCCATCAGCGTGTCAAGTTTTCGTTTCCGATCTGACATCTCTTTCTTCCTCAACTCAAGCTGTGCGCGCTCCGATGCCAGTCGTGTGCACTCAACGAGCTCGCGACCAAGCTTCTCGTTTTCGCTGTCCAGCTGCCACTGCTTATCATTGGCTTCATTCAGCTGTTGATCCCAGTTGGACTTTTCCAGTTCTTGCTGTGCATGCTTGAACCTGGATTCTAGCTCATCAAGCTGCCCGTCAAGGATAGCCTTGGCTCCCTCATCAACGTCAATGTTCCCAGCTTCATTCTGGAGGACGCTTGTACGCTTCTCTATGGCCCCCATGCGCTGTTTGGCAGAAACGCGATCCTGAGTCCTAGCTGCTTTGCGCCCCTCGAGCTCAGTAATAACGCCCGTAGCCTTGTCTAGTTCTTCAGCGTTGTCCTTTTGGAGTCGTCCCAAATCTCGCTTCTTTTCGGCCAAGAGCTTTTGAATCTTGTCTTGGAAAGCCTGTATATGCTGTTCGCTTACGTCTTCATCAAAACCTCTAAAATTGTATTGACTCGCTGCCTCCTGGATCAATTGCACTCGCGCTTTTAGCTGCCGCTCATACTTGTCCTTGTCAGACTGTAGTTTTCCCTGTTCGGCCAATTTTAATGATTGCTTTTGGCGGTGATTCGTCAACTCTTGTTGAAGTTCGGCGTACTGTGCCTTATTCTGCTCAGCCTCTCCTTGATAGCGCCCCATGCTCTCTTCATACTGCGACAGAGCGCGCTCCAGGGCATCGTCGCTTTCGGGCAGCTCATCAATTGTCTGTCGGAGCTCATTAATAGCGTCTTGGCGGTATTCAAGCTGCTCCCGCTTGTTGTTGAGATTTTGCACGATCTGGAGGAAGCTGTTGGCTTGTTGATGCTTCTGAGTTATTCTTTCCTGTGTTTCGTTCATCTCAACCGTAAGAGCCCCGCACTCGTCGCGAGCCGCTTCAATCTCAGCATGAAGCCCACTCATACGCTTCTCAGCCCGCTCTCCTCTATCCTTGTTAGCCTTATTGTGTGCCTCGTCTTTCTGCAGCATCGAAAGCTGCTCCACCTGCTTTTTCCGCAGTATCTTTAAGTTTTCGATGGCCTTTGTGTATTTTTGGGCCTCGAAAATCTCATCAAAACGTTTCTTTAAAGCTGAAGGCTCGCTTAGTGGCCAAAGCGATTCATCTTGGTGGCAAAATATGACAGCATCAAGGATAGCAGGAGAAACACCGAGCCGTTCGGGGATCATTTCGTCCAGTTGTGCGTGTCTGGTCGACGTCGTCGTCCGCTCTCCATTGTTCACGACTACCAGCGAGCAGTCAAGCGTCTTTAGCGATCGGGTAGTCTTTTTAGCAGTGAGCTGTACGCTCCGAGTGGCCACATGTTGTCGATCGTTGATGGAGCGGAACTGTAGCTTGACCTGGGCCAAGACTTCCTTTTCGCCAGCGAGCTAGACAGAAACGATTATCAGCTGTCAGACCAAATGAGGGCACAGACATATGCTAGCCAGAAACTTGATGGAAACCTACCTTTGGATCGTGAATAAAGGCAGCCCCCTTGCTGCTGTTTGGGGGAAATTCGCCGGTGGTTGCATACTTGAGACATTCGATGACGGTCGTCTTGCCGGATCCATTGTAGCCAACGATGAGGGTAAGGGGGGTGTTGAACTGAATAGCCTCACGCACAGCTGGGCTGAAGGACCGGACACCGGAGATGGAGAGCTTGTCTATTCTCGACATGGTTTACAGGCTGGATCACAGGAGCTGTGCTCAATACTTTGCTTGCAAGAAACGCTGGCGACTTGTGGAACACCCAATGGCGGAATCAGAGGCGAGAGTTGGCGCTGTAGCATCTCCCTTGCGGTGCTGCTGTCGCCTTGTGCCGGTTTCAGTCTCTCAGGTTGCATCCAGCCACCGGCGCCTATCAGTCCGTGTCTCGAGGCTTCACTGCGACACGCGCTCCAGGCAGCGACTCACGCGTTGAGTGAAGGGTGGATTGATGCGTCCTCACGTGGTCTTCGATAAGATAAAGCCACGACCCCTCCCTACGGCTGGCTGTCCAAAAAAATCCTTCGCTGTGGTACGTCGCACACAGCCACTGGCGACTCGGGCTGGCATGTTACAGTAGGGAGTCCCACCCCTCGAAATTCTTGCATCATGGATAGCTCGTCGGATGGGCAATTGGGAGCACGGCGGATGTGGCGGAAACAGGTCCCTTGTCCCGGACCTTGTTATTTCCTCTCACTCTCTTCTTGCTCTTGCTCTTTCTTTTGTCCTTTTTTCCCCCTCTTTTTTTACCCTTTGCTCTTTTCTTTGGCGTGTGTCTGTTTGTTGTGTCTTGATCACCTCGATTCAATCTGGCACAGGTGGCAAGCATATGCGATGCATGTATGTAGGCATAGCCTGTATATGCAACACTGGCTGCTGGTTGGCTCGCCAGCACCCCCAAACAGCCAAATTGCGATACACCAGGAAAAAGATTTCCCTTGCATTGCCCATCGCGCGGCCCCCGCCAAGTGGTCGAATCGGATTGCGCCCCTCTGCTGGCCCGAGGTCTGCTAGCTGTGAGTGTGAGCAACTGGCTGCGCTACCCAGCCGAGCAAGCACTGAGCAAATCAATTGAGCAGGGTAGCGGTGCATGTTGAATCATTCGTTTCGGTTGGCCACAGTATACCATTAGTACTATCTAAATAATTTACAATGCTGTACATAGCATTTTAGTAGTATTCAATGATTCTACGTATACCTATACCAGGCATCTCTCATCAGATTGGTCCCAGCGATTGCCCAAGCTGGACATGCCTACAGGCCCAATATCCGCTAGACTTATACCCCCATCTACATGATACACACAATCCTCCGTCATCAGGCGGCAGGGAAGCAATCAAAAACAAGAGCTGGAGGGCCGCTTTTTAGCGTCTTTGGCCACATCCTCCCGCTGCAGCCGCTAAAGCATTGGAGGCTGCAGGACTGAGGGGGTTGCGTCATTGCTGGGAATCTTCAGGGTCGGTCGCTTTTGTGCATTCGCCCACCCCCGCCGAGCTTTTTGCTGATAGCAGGCAATCCTGCTTTGGCTTGGGTTCTGGTTGTTGTCGTTGCTTTTTATCTCCTTTTCATTTTGCTGCGGGACAATTTTGTTTGCTTTTTAATAGCGGAGACTCAGGTGGCAACAGTAGCAACGCAGTAGCAAGTATGGTGCCTGTAGAGAAGAAATATTCTGTAAAAGTGCCTACAAGTAATACCCACTAGGTAATTCGGCAAACTGACTGGCGTATGATCAGGCGGTGCAGCATCACTCTCGTAAGACGACATCCCGGCAGTATTACTGCGTCCCTACGGCCTGCTGCTGGCGAGTACTCGAGACGCGAGGGAGACCAGTTGCCCTACGAGGCCATGAAACAGCTCCAATCAGGGCCAGATCAAGCCCGCTTTTCGCTCGGGGTCATTTCTCCGGGCTGCCAGCCAGCGCTTGGGAGGTGTTTCCTCTCACCATCAGTCAGCCGCCTACTAGCTGAAAATCTCTGGACTAGCTGAAATATCGCAAAACGGTGCCTGTTTCTGCTTGTCCATTTTTTGAGCTGCACGACAGGCCTGTTTATCACCATTCAAAAGCCCACGAGAAGCCTCTCTTGGGCATACCGCACCCAGACAGCTCCAGTGCCCTCGCCCGCTGTCACAGCGCCCACCCCCTCCTCGCCCAAGCAAAACGCCCCGGAGGACGCCACTGAACGCAACGACAGCTGCCCGCTGCCCGCTAGGCTAATGCCTGGAATCCAACCGCTGGTGGTATAAAGATACCGCGAGCATGTCCCACGGCCAGTCTCCACTCTACGAGGACCTGTTCAGCTTCGCCAACTTCGATGTTCTCCCCGCGTTCCTGGGAGGCAACGGCCACGCCATCCCAGTCTCCAGCAGCATGACCGATGGGCTCACCAACGACGACGGCGCCATGGCACTGCTCGACAGCGACATCATGGACTCTTTTGGCGGCGACTTGCCCATGAGCTTGGACGCCGCAGTGTCTGTGCTGGACGGCGACAGCGGCGGAATAGGTAGCGGCATGATCTCGCCAGAGGCCGTCCTGAGCGCAGAGAACCAATTCAATACGATTGCCAACGACATCCCCGGTGCGGGGCCTCTGCCAGCGGCCGCATTTACTCCAGGAAGCGCAGCGAGCCAGCCCAATAACAACACTAACTCGCTGACAGAGTTCACCAAGCGGAAGAACTGGCCGGCAAAGGTGGTCGAGGAGCTCAGCGACGTGCTACAGATCCTCGATTCCAACGGACGCATCAAGTTTTCGTCCCCCAGCATCACGGCATTGGCGGGGTACACCGTCGAGGAGGTCCAGGACGTTTTTTTGAAGGACTTGATCCATCCCGATGACCAGGGCGTGCTTGTCTCCGAACTCCACGAGTCCATCGCAACCGGCAACTCTTTGCGCATATTCTATCGAATGAGGAAGAAGGATGGCACGTATGCGATATTCGAGGCTGTCGGCCATGCCCATATTGCGGCTGCTGGGTTTGCGCCAAATCCAAATAACCAGTCGCCTTTTTGCCAGGCTGTCTTCATGATGGCGCGGCTATATCCGACCAAGAACGCCACACTTCTGGACTCGTTTTTGGAGCACAAGATAGAAAACGAGAGGCTGAGGCGCCGCATCGCCGAGCTGCGGAGAGAGGAAGAGGCAGAGGTGGAGGAAGCGCAAAGGCAGTGGACGCAGAGCCGCGAGGGCCGATCGGATATCACTCCATCCGAAAGCACTGGCATGTCGTTGACACCAATTCCTAGAGTCACCCAGGAGATGATGTCATCAGAAAACGCAGACGGGGCATTGACGAGGAAAAACCTAGAGGATGCCACGGCAAGCAGTCGCCAAGACTCATTGCGTGACAAAATGGCTCGGATTGAAGCGTCTTCAGCGGATACTATAGCCTTGTTGACTGGCATAGAGAATGGAGAGCGTATGGCCGCCGGTAACCGGAGCCCTACCCTCATCAAAGGCGATGCTGGAATTGCTATTCCCATGGATCGGGATAATAGATCTGGCGAGAAGAAGAAGAAGTTGAAGCTGGCAGAAGAATATGTCTGCACTGATTGCGGTATAGCACCCCCTTTCACGATTTTTTGTTTTCTCATCCTTCTTTCCTGGCTGGGAGATGGGATTCATCACCATCAGCATGATATCCTACTTCAGCTACTAATATCAAATTCCAGGCACTCTTGACTCTCCAGAATGGCGAAAGGGACCCAGCGGGCCAAAGACACTGTGCAACGCCTGCGGGTTGCGGTGGGCGAAGAAGGAAAAGAAGCGCAACAACAGTATCGGCACCCCATTAACTAAGCCATCAGCAACTCCGGCTCCTGGCTAATGGACTACATTTGATATCTCGACCGGAAAGCGAGAAAAGAGGAGGGAGAGGAAGGACAATGCAAAAAAAAAAAAAAAAAAAAAAAAACGAGCAAGATATAGCTTGCTAAGTATACGATACGGCCGGTCCGGGACTGCGCTGACTGTTTTAAGATGGAATCCTAATATGGAGTTTGGTTTTGCTTTTAAGATGCATATATTACTGGCGACGGGGACCTACTTACATTTTTACCGTTCTTGTTGTCATAGTTATGGAGGAAAACGATTGTGGAGGGACTTTTCTTTTATTCATTGTTTTTGTTTTTCTTTTGTTTTCCCTTTTGTTTTGGGCATCTGTACACGATTATGATACCATGGGAGGCAACATTTTGGAGCAGAATTAGACGGATACGGATGTACGAGGCGATTCTGCCTACGGGCATTACGCAACATTCTGCTATTTTCATTTCTTTTCTTTTGGAACACGCATAGATTATTAGGGCATTTTCTACTATTGTTATTTTCTTGTTCTTTTCCTTTCTTGCTACCTATTTTCAATATGAGACTTTCCGGCGTATGAGCTAGGTCTTATTGGCCAGCTTTGCGTATCCTTTGCACACTAGAATACCTATTAGTCAAACACGGCAGTCGAGAGAGTTTACCAGGGAGCTTCTTTTCCCCCTGAGAAGCAATCTGCAAGTAGAAAATAGTATCTAGAAACGATCAACAGCAACTATTGAAACGGCGCATGAAGTTGCTGTAAGCGCATGTGAGAAATGACAGGTCATATCCTTGAGTGCTCTTCCCCGGGTAGGTGCTGGTACCTCTATCAAATGACACGAGTGTGGCTTAACAAAAGCTAATAAGTAATTAAATCAATCAACAAGCTTGCCAACTCGCATAGACCACCAAGTTTATCCTCGTAGAAGCAAATAATAAATATAATTTGCCCTGGTGTCCTTGTTCACATGAAATTCGGCAAACTAAGATGAACCCCGCGTTTTGCTGAAATTTTATAGGTATTAGCACTACCACATATACTGCCCTCCTTGCTCTAGCTCCCTAATACTGCTAGTTTGCCAGCTGAAAGATCCCCGCTCAATTTGCCTCGGATGCACCTCTTAGGCCGTGATCCAATACATCTAATTAGCCAGCCTAGCTAATTAGCCAGTTACATCTAACTAGTAAAAATAGTAGATTAAGGAACTTATACTAATATAATCCTGGTTATAAAACTAAATTAAAATAATTAAGGAAGGCTATATTGCTTTTATAAAGCTTTAATATTATTAAATAACCCTATAAGGCTAAGGATAAAAAATACTTTAAAATATAAAGTTATTCCTTTATATTTAAAGTTACTATAAGTTAAATATTTAATAATTTATTATAAAGTAATATTTAAAGAATATTAAATTAATAAAATAATATTTAATTATTATATTTTTTTAATTTTTTATTTAAAATAAAAAAAAAAAATAATTAAATTTAATAAAAAAAATATA